AAAAGGCCAGGACCCATGCAGCGGACAAGTGCGTGGCCTGGCTGGACGTGTCGAACGCATTCGGAGCGATCCCCCATCCGGCCCTTGAAGCGGCGATCCGAAGCAGCTTTTTAGAGGCCGTCCGTGACATATACGACGGTGCCTCTTCGTCGGTGAGCGTGGCCGGTGGGATGACGGCCGACATCCCGGTCCAGTCCGGCATCAAACAGGRGTGCCCACTGAGCGGTCTTTTGTTTATAATGGCTATAGACCCAGTGGTGGCACTCCGTTTGAGGTTCTCTCCGAGAATCAAGTCCTGGGTAACCAGGGTTGAAGACCGGATTTAGTTCTGAAGAAGGGCCCAAACATTTTTATCGTAGACGTCACCGTGCCGTTTGACAATCGCCTCGCGGCCTTCGAGGCTGCGGCGGCGGAAAAGAAGGCCAAGTACGAGCGGCTGCGAAAAGACTTGGCGGCTCAGCACGGGTGTGAGGCTGCAGTGGTGCCCTTGGTTCTTGGGATCCAGCCAATGACGCCTTCATGAGGGTCCTGTGCAGCCGTTCATATGCCACCCTCATGCGAAAGCTCTGCGTCAGCGACACGGTCGCTGCCTCCCGAGATATWTATATTGAGCACCTCTCGGGGGTGCGTCAGGTCAGGCCTTAAGCCTGTCTGACTATTTTTTCTTTTTGTTTACCTTTTTACCTTTTTTTTTTTTATCTATGTACTTTGAATTTTTGATATTTTTATTGTATTATTATACTTTTTGATTCCCCATTTTATATGTGTCCCCCCCATGCCCTGCACTCGTGCTGAGCCAGCCGCCGGAAATTGAATAAATTACCCGGCGGTGAAGAGTGGAGCTAGGTCGTTAACGACAAATAGTCGGTATCTATTAAAACTGCCCGTAGCGCAATTTACGTTAAAAATACGACAAAGGTGGTGGCACACCTAAAAAGCAGAGTCCCTCGCCATTTGGTGTGGCCAAACTCTGCACKCCAAACCGTGGCGCAATCCACGTTAAACATACGGCGCAAATTTCACATATCACTCCGAGAGGCCAACTAGGATCGAGGCCACCAGTCCTGCCTCGTGCGGAAGAGTGTCCACCCTCTGGGACTCTTTCGGTCACTCCAAGCTCGGGGTTCAGTGACCCAGAAGCTCACAACCGGCTGGTGTCCGCGTTTTGGCCCAGCTGTTCATCGTCTTTGTGTTGTGAGTTCTTCAGCCAGCTGACCACCGCCTTTTGGACCAGCCTGGCCACACCATCCTGTTCATCGTCTTCGTGTTTGTGACGTCGGCATTTTCCAGCAGGTGGACGGCCGTGATCCAGTGCCGATGGGCYCGTTCCAGTGCGCCGACGTTTCCAAACGTCTTGGGAAATTTGAGAATACGGCGCCTGGGGACGACGGGCTCACATACCGGCACTGGAAGAWACTCGACCCGGAATGTACGGTCTTAACGGAGGTGATCAACATGTGCCTCCGTTACAAAAGAGTTCCACCTGCGTGGAAGAAGGCGGTGACGGTCCTCATCTATAAAAAGGGGGCCAAGGAGGACCCCGGCAACTGGCGGCCCATCTCCCTCAGCCGTACTTTGTACAAATTGTATGTGGGATGTGTCGCCAACCGCCTGACTGTGTGGCTCACGACGAATAAGGTCCTCAGTCAGTGCCAGAAGGGGTTCCTCCCGGCGGATGGTGCGTTCGAGCACGTCCACACCCTTAACCGGGTGCTCGAAAAGGCCAGGACRCACGCTGCAGACAAATGCGTGGCCTGGCTGGACGTGTCGAACGCTTTCGGGGCAATCCCACATCCGGCCCTCGAAGCGGCGATCCGGAGTAGCGGTGCCGGCGCCGACTTCCTCGAGGCCGTCCGCGATATATACGACGGTGCCTCCTCGTCGGTGAGTGTGGCCGGAGGGATGACGGCTGACATCCCAGTCCAGTCCGGCATCAAGCAGGGGTGTCCACTGAGCGGTCTTCTTTTCATCATGGCCATAGACCCAGTAGTGACACTCCTGCAGGGTGAGTCCGCCGACCACAGGGTGCTCGCCTTCGCGGACGACTTATGCCTAATAGCCAGCAGCGCTACGGAGCTCCAAGCGTCCATCGACGCGGCCCACCAGGGCCTGGGCAGGCTTGGGCTCCAGCTGAACGCCGCGAAGTGCGCGTCCCTCCACCTGTCCGGTCGGCGGCCGGTTGGCGTCCGGGACACTCGGTTCATGCTGCAGGGAGCTCCACTTCGCCCGCTTGCCGAGGGCGAAGCTGCCACCTTTCTCGGGGCCCAGGTAGGTTTCAACATCGTGCCGCCTCTGTCCACCCTCGCCGAAATAATTGATATAGGTCTGCGCATCGCCAGGAGCATGTTGGCTCCTTGGCAGAGGATCGATGCGCT